CTCATCTTAAGCAGCAAGCAAACAGCTCAAATTCCGACAGTACCATTTACAGCCTAATTGTATATCCGTCTCGCCACCTTCCTGGAGCGTTGAGCGTTGACCAGAATCAGTGGTCACTATTCGATACACTATTCTCTTCAGACCATGAGGATCTATGTGTGCCTCTGCTCTGTTTACTCGCTCCCCAAAGGCCCCTTACAACATCCAGCTTGACATGTTTTAATATACCACCAAGTAGTGCAGAACCAGCTAGCCTATCTGCTTGTTCCTTTCTCAACACGTTGTTACATAACTTGTACCAATGATACTGTCAGCTGTCAGGCTGTTGCAGTATATAAACAGCCCCTTTCGAGTCACTGGCTCTTCCAGAAGATGTATAAATAGACCAATCTGCATTATATGGATAATAATGGACAACATCACTCCGGACTTCTTTACTTCCAATGGCATTTCCTGGTACCAATTCCAAGGACGTTAAAGGTCGCTTCTCGAGCAGACGACTGCATTGTAAACTATCACGGAATCATTATCATAGTTATTGTCCACGTCGTATGAAACGACATTGGAGGCGTTATCATTTTATGAACTGAGCACAAGAGCAACTCATTTAAAAACGGAAGACCAAAAAAAAAAATATCACGAACGTGACACCGAAACAAATAAAAGAAGCACTTTTAGCAGTACAAACACTTCATAGTATTTCTGCAGGCGTGAAGGACTTGGGAATACGGTGCTGGAGTAGGAGCTAATGTGTCTTTAATCAAGCCACACGATTACTGGTTTCCAGCCAGCAGTGCGTGCCGAATTTCGCCTTGAGTTACGTCTCATATGGGAGACATCCGTGGCATCGCCCATGTGCGCGTGTGTAAGTGTTTGTCTTAGCATTTCTTTCATCCCTCTTCTTTCAAACTTCCAATGTCTGGAATCACTTTAAAATTGAATGGACAGTAATCGCGATCACAATTGGTTTTGAAACATTTCCGAAAGCAAATACTTCTTTTCCAAAGAACAATCAGCTATTAAGAAATCCAGAACATTCGTTTTATTGTTTAGAATAAAAGAAATAAAATCGCTTGGCTAATTATCACAAAATTAAAAGAAAGATGGCCGAATGGATGAGGAAAGTAGAGAATGGGGAAAAGTACGAAGCTTCCTGTCTCCCAAGATGTTCTCCAGCACATGACACTGCGTAGACGGAACAGATGTGTCGGTTTTTGGTGGCAGCTCACCCAAAGCTTTGTACCCGGTTCTGCTGAAGTTCAAGGGTGACACTGATGTAACCTGTGGACAATTATTGATGGCGATATCGCCCCAGCCCATCCTGTGAGTTTCTTTTGGTCCCGGGAAAACAAACACACACCCGGCGTCTCTGCCAAAGTTCTACGTCCTCTTTAGTTGATTGAAAATTCTCACAGACCATTAGAATTGTAAAACGTGCAAACAAACTATCCTGCACTGTTTTCTGGCACGATCACGTCATTATTCAATTTGTCACCATTTGTCATTTGCATGTAAAGAGAACTCGTTAGAAAAGAAATGGTGTGCGTGTGCGCGCGCGCACACATGAACACATACAGACAGGGAAAGAGAGACAGAAAACGACACAGACAGTATAGAGAGGGGATAGAGCAGAAATGAAAACAATTTAAAAGAAAGAGAGAATCGAACATAAATGTAGTCAAAGAAAAGGCTGAGAGAGAGAGAGAGAGGAAGAGAGACAAAAACGGAAAGAGAGAGGTAAGGAGAGGAAGAGAAAGACAACTGACATTAAAATATAAACAGAATAAGTAAAGAAGAGAGGGGATATTATGTGTTATGTATTATGTATGTATGTGTGTATATATATATATATATATATATATATATATATATAGAGAGAGAGAGAGAGAGAGAGAGAGAGAGAGAGAGAGAGTAGGTGGTGATAGCAGGGTGGGGGGGGGGGATTGTATATAACATACACACACACACACACACACACACACACACACACACACATACACTGGCAACACGAGGCAGTCACAAGTTTAAACAAACAAGTTTTTTTTTTCAAAACATTAAACAAGGCATTTGACAGGAATACTTTTTTTTTAAAAAGGCATTAGACTGTTATATGTAATTAAACAAGGCATTAGACAGTGATATGTATTTTAACAAGGCATTAGACAGTGATATGTATTTTAACAAGGCATTAGACAGTGATATGTATTTTAACAAGGCATTAGACAGTGATATGTATTTTAACAAGGCATTAGACAGAGATATGTATTTTAACAAGGCATTAGACAGTGATATGTATTTTAACAAGGCATTAGACAGTGATATGTAATTAAACAAGGCATTAGACAGTGATATGTATTTTAACAAGGCATTAGACAGGGATATGTATTTTAACAAGGCATTAGACAGGGATATGTATTTTTACAAGGCATTAGACAGGGATATGTATTTTAACAAGGCATTAGACAGTAATATGTATTTTAACAAGGCATTAGACAGTGATATGTATTTTAACAAGGCGTTAGACAGTGATATATATTTTAACAAGGCATTAGACAGGGATATGTATTTTAACAAGGCATTAGACAGAGATATGTATTTTAACAAGGCATTAGACAGAGATATGTATTTTAACAAGGCATTAGACAGAGATATGTATTTTAACAAGACATTAGACAGTGATATGTATTTTAACAAGGCATTAGACAGTGATATGTATTTTAACAAGGCATTAGACAGTGATATGTATTTTAACAAGGCATTAGACAGGGATATGTATTTTAACAAGGCATTAGACAGTGATATGTATTTTAACAAGGCATTAGACAGTGAAATGTATTTTAACAAGGCATTAGACAGTGATATGTATTTTTACAAGGCATTAGACAGTGATATGTATTTTAACAAGGCATTAGACAGTGATATGTATTTTTACAAGGCATTAGACAGGGGTATGTATTTTAACAAGGCATTAGACAGGGATATGAATTTTAAAAGGCATTAGACAGTGATACGTATTTAAACAAGGCATTAGACAGGGATATGTATTTTAACAAGGCATTAGACAGGGATATGAATTTTAAAAGGCATTAGACAGGGATATGTATTTAAACAAGGCATTAGACAGGGATACGTATTTAAACAAGGCATTAGACAGGGATACGTATTTAAACAAGGCATTAGACAAGGATATGTATTTAAACAAGGCATTAGACAGTGATATGTATTTTAACAAGGCATTAGACAGTGATATGTATTTTAACAAGGCATTAGACAGTGATATGTATTTTAATAAGGCATTAGACAGGGATATGTATTTGAACTAGGCATTAGACAGGGATATGTATTTAAACAAGGCATTAGACAGGGATATGTATTTTAATAAGGCATTAGACAGGGATACGTATTTGAACAAGGCATTAGACAGGGATACGTATTTTAACAACGCATTAGACAGGGATATGAATTTTAAAAGGCATTAGACAGGGATACGTATTTAAACAAGGCATTAGACAGGGATATGTATTTAAACAAGGCATTAGACAGGGATACGTATTTAAACAAGGCATTAGACAGGGATATGTATTTAAACAAGGCATTAGACAGGGATACGTATTTAAACAAGGCATTAGACAGGGATATGTATTTAAACAAGGCATTAGACAGGGATATGTATTTAAACAAGGCATTAAACAGGGATATGTATTTAAACAAGGCATTAGACAGGGATATGTGTTTGAACAAGGCATTAGACAGGGATATGTGTTTGAACAAGGCATTAGACATGAATGTGTATTAGCACCCGATATATTCAGTATGTGCAATGAAATAATAATTAGATCCATACATGGCATGCCAGGAATATCGGCTGGTGGACATATTGTAAACAACCTGGGATATGCTGACGATATAGTTTTGATCGCTGAAAATGAAACACAAATGCAAGAAATTCTGGACTTAATTGTAACGAAAAGTCAAAACAAGGGTCTTAGTTTGAACAGCAGAAAATCAGAAATAATAGTAACTATAAAGCAAAATAAGCCCCCGAAATGCAACATCAAGTAAATGGGGCAATCTTCAAGCAAGTTAATACGTTTAAGTACGTGGGTACCATAACATCAGATGGAAGATGTATTACAGAAATTAAATATAGAATAGCTCAAGCAATGGTAGTATTTTACCATATGAAGAATATTCTATGCAGTCTTTTTTTCTAATTGACATGAGAAAGTGAATTCTTAAAAACTATTTGAATCCTCCTCTGTTACACAGAAGTGAATCATGGACAGTTGGTCCATTAGTGAAAAATTATTTGGAAGCTGCGGAGATCTGGGTTTATAGATGAGAATACCCTAGACAAATAAAATGTTAAATGAAGATATCTTGAAAGAAACTGGCCCGACTGAATTTCCAGTTTGATTTGATTTGATTTGATTCAAGAACCGGCATCACAGCACTCCGGACATTCCCATAAGCGCTCCGTCTCCATCTTCAGCAGCCAGCGAAGAGTTCCGATACCAATGGTGCCAGTAACATTCTAATTAAACCTCCGTCTTGCCTTTCCTCTGAGCCTCGAGCATCTGCCAGAACCTCTCGTCAATCCCTGCTGCATCAACCTCACCAGACTGTGGTGATCCATCCGCGCCTCCGAACTGTACACGCTCTCCCACAAGGCACTAACCACGTCTGTCTTTTCATGTATCAGTATTCCACCAAGTTGTGCAGAGCCAGCCAGTCTGCCCGCCTGTTGGAGATCCAGTTTGCGGACAACTAAACAGGACAAACAGTGCACTAAGTATTTGGCTTGTGTGAGATGTGTTGGTGGCCTTGCCATTTCAGTTATGCCTTCAATGAAGTTGGTTTGAATTTTTGCATCCGAAAGTCCCGATCCTTTGTAGTTTTCCTTCCTAACGGATTTTCATGCTCGGATGTCTTTAATGTTCTATATCTACCGATTCATGAAGAAAACCGATTGCCAAAATAATTTTTTTGTCATGTTATGAGAAGGAGCGAAATGGAGTATATCGTGACAGTGGGAAAGTTGGAGTGGGAGAGAGGCAGAGGGAGACCGACAAAGAAGATGGTGGACACTTTGACATAACAGAATGGAGAATCATCTGTGTCAGAGTTGACTGAAAGTACACGAGACAGAAAGTTGTGGACAGACATGACTATCAACACCACACAGCATGGATTTGAAGAAGAAGAAAAAGAAGAAGAAGAAGAAGAAGAAGAAGAAGAAGAAGAAGAAGAAGAAGAAGAAGAAGAAGAAGAAGAAGAAGAAGAAGAAGAAGAAGAAGAAGAAGAAGAAGAAGAAGAAGAAGAAGAAAAGAAGAAGAAGAAGAAGAAGAAGAAGAAAAAAAAAGAAGAAGAAGAAAAAGAAGAAGAAAAGAAGAAGAAGAAAAAGAAGAAACAGCTGCAGCAGAAGCGGCAGCAGAAGAAAAAGAAGAAGAAGAAGAAGAAGAAGAAGAAGAAGAAGAAGAAGAAGAAGAAGAAGAAGAAGAAGAAGAAGAAGAAGAAGAAGAAGAAGAAGAAGAAGAATAAGAAGAAGAAGAAGAAGAAGAAGAAGAAGAAGAAGAAGAAGAAGAAGAAGAAGAAGAAGAAGAAGAAGAAGAAGAAGAAGAAGAAGAAGAAGAAAAAGAAGAAGAACAAGAACAAGAACAAGAAGAAGAAGAAGAAGAAGAAGAAAATGAAGAAGAAGAAGAAAAAGAAAAAGAAGATGCCGCCGCAGCAGTAGTGGTGGTGGGAGCAGCAGCAGCAGTAGTAGTAGTAATTGTAGTAGCAGCAGCAACCGCAGTAGCGGTAGTAGTAGTAGTAGTAGTAGTAGTAGTAGTAGTAGTAGTAGTAGTAGTAGTAGTAGTAGTAGTAGTAGTAGTAGTAGTAGTAGTAGTAGTAGTAGTAGTAATAGCAGCAGCAGTAGCAGCAGTAGTAGTAGTAGTAGTAATTGTAGTAGCAGCAGAAACCGCAGTAGCGGTAGTAGTAGTAGTAGTAGTAGTAGTAGTAGTAGTAGTAGTAGTAGTAGTAGTAGTAGTAGTAATAGTAGTAGAAGTAGTAGTAGTAGTAGTAGTAGTAGTAGTAGTAGTAGTAGTAGTAGTAGTAGTAGCAGTAGCAGCAGCAGTAGCAGCAGTAGTATTAGAAGTCTGGAAAGACAGAAATGTGGCAACAATGAAAATCTAAGCGTCAAATTTAAAATAAAATATGCATATGTTTAAAAGAGTGGGATGTCCCCATTTTTGATCAGTTATTATACTCTTTGACCCTCTAATTTGCTGCCGTTAGTAACAATTGATTGTATTTTTTGGGCCTCAGCGGCGATTCCCCAAGGGAGGTCATCAAGTCAGAGAGGAAGACGCGTTTGGATAGAGGCTTTTGCTTGACAAGACAGACGTGTCGCATAAAAACAAACAGTGGGTTATTCAGTTACGCCTGATGAAGTACCGGCCATTTTAAAGAGAGCAAACATTGTCTTCTTCGTGTCAGTGTTGGGAAATAAGTTTGAGCTGAAGCTGAATGAACTCCTCTGACACCAGGCAACTGACTGTGCGTGTCCTAGAAACTATTTTATATGTGATGTACACTTCTGGGCTTGTTCTAAACCAGTGTTTCTCAAACTTGTCTGGACTACTGTCCCCTTTTCAACGTAAAAATCCACCGACTGACTCCCCCCCCCCCCCCAACCCCTCCCCCAAATAAAAATGTCATCATTATCGTGTGCCACGCCAAAAAGCGTAGACAGCGATCATCAATCGAGCATAATCATGGATCAGTAGGTGCTCCTGACCCACCCACCCCAAACATGTGGCCAAGCGATCAGGGTATTTCTCTCTTTGCTTTTTCCTTGTCTTCTTTCTGTCAATTTTGATATTTGTCACCAAGTTTTGTAGTCTACTCCTTGCCTTGAAATAAACCTTCTGTAATCAAACAACAGAATGATATAAATGACAATTTTGTTTCATTTAATGTTTCTTTCATTTTCTTACAACATACATGCTCTGGTATGTAATTGCTGTATTCTATATCTTTTTGCTCTATTTTAAGATTATCTTTGGTGCTTTTTTTTTTTTTTTTTTTTAATCTGGAAACCATGCGTTGTAAACCATTTGGCTCTGTACTATAAATATCGACACCCTGATAGATACCGTAAATCTGGAAGATGTGTGGCTTTTCTGCCTACCCCTGCGTATTAAAGCTCTGATCAGATGGGAATGTATGACGTTTGCTGTAGCTTACGTAAGCTCTGCCTTTCAATTTCTGTTGATTCATAGTAGGCTGGTATTTGCTGCTGAACTGGTTCTGTTTTTGTGGATAGCATGATGATGGTTTTGTTTTGTTTTTTAAATTTAATTTTAATTGTTTTATTATTAGGTTACATAGTTAATGCTGTCCTGTTTAGAGCGTGAGATAGCTTGTGTGACTCACTCTACGTATGTCAATATGACAGTTTTTTTTTTTTTTTAGATAAACTGAATTATTGGAAGTCTGCTCAGTTTAAAGGAGCATTGCTTGCTCAGCTCTGAGGTTGATGCAAGCCTCACTTGCCGATACTGAATGTGCCTCTGCTTTTCAGTGTAATGTAGAGTCGTTGACTTCCTTGTTTTTGATTCTTTACCAAAACCGTCTGTGGCAAAATATTGGAGAGACACTGTCTTGTGAGCATATAAAGTCAAAAAGCTCTTTGTTCTGACAAAACTTGTTCTTTTTAGTTATTATTCCTGGGACTTCCAGAGCTACACTGGACAGAATGGACAGTTGATACATAGTTCTGGTGTAAGAGCTGCAACATTATGTTATGTCAAAGCTTCTCTTGCAAAATGAATTATACTTTTTCGTGATAGTTTTTTCCTCCCCATTCTTAAATCTATGGTACAGCAGATGGTTGGAAGCCTGTTTAGCTTTTCAAATAAAATAAGGAATTTGTACTTTTAGGGGGTGCTTCTCATTGCTCCGTGTGTTATACATAAGTTCACATTTTTAACCTTGTATTGGTTTCACAGGTTCGTGTTC